GAGGGGGGGGGGTGGGTGGGTGGTGGTGGCTCTCAAACGTTCATGATTACTCGTAATTGTGGATCTTCCGGATTTGTGAATGCAGAAGCGTCATGGAGGTAGAGGGGCATACATGCGGCGTGAAACCAGCACTCTGCTCATATAGTTTTCAAAGGGTCAACGGGGCACCCTCTACTGTATTGGATGTGCGAACATAGGGATCCCTGTTGAGGTACTTCCAGTAGTCCATTGAATGCAAAGCACGCAGGATGCCGATACAACAGATCCCGAGCTGATCGCTGTGCGCACGGCGGTCTGGAATCGATTGCGTCTCGGCCTGACAAAAGTAAAGCTTGGGGAGCAGAATGGGCGGTGGAAACGTCTCCTTGATAGCTATGCGGCCGGAAGTTGCAACAGTTCTATTCAGGCCACCATAGCACGCCCACCCTGTGAGCAGATCTCACACAACGCACCCAGCTTTTCTCTGGGTGCATGGCTTTCACGAGGAGGGGCTCCACACGCGCAACCTTTTTCTGGCCAGAGCCTGGCCAGCCTCGCAGCGAGGGCGCTGATGGTGCGAAGCCAGGAGTGTTGTTGGTTGTTGTAGAGCTTAAGTGCTTGAGGGACGAGGGAGGGGAGCCAGAAGAGTGGAAAAGACTCCTTCTGCATATGTGAAGTAGCTCCAGGACATTTGAAAATAATCGTTGATGCTTGATTTGCATGAGATGAGTTGTCAATGCCTCTTTGAGTTTGGAGCTTCAAGGCCGTATCTGGGTTGAGATAGAGCTTGGAGAATGATGTCATGCCATGTCTTGAACGAGATTTTTGATTTATTGGGTTTCCAGGGTCATGCGGGCCAGCTCAGTCAATCTGGCTCTCCTTGTCCACCTTCCCAGGATTCTGAGGGGCCAAAGGTAGATCCCCATCATATCATTTAGCAATTTTTGAGGAGACGACCTTCAACTCGACGATGCGCACTTTGCTGCGCTGTGGCTGCACTAGCTTTCGCTTCTCTGAATGACCTGTGTAAAGTCTTTCAGGCTGTAATCCCCTCTGCCTGCCTTGCCTTGTTTTGAGGAAATGCCGTCCAACAATTGCGGATCTCTCTTTGAAATTCCCTTGTTCTGCTGACGCACTGTGGGGTTAGTCAGAAGGCCATTCTGCTTGGTTCCCGAGGGAAACAAAGGGCAAGCAGGACATTCGAATTGAGTGCCGCAGCGCTGGCTCCCGATTCCCGATTTGTTCAGGGCAATTTCAGGCCTTACGCATCATAGAGAAGCTCATATTCGCGATATGACTTTCAGCAAAAGTCAGATTCATGGTTCGCTGCTTGGGTTACTGTGGGAAGGGCTTTCACGCCTGAAAGCACGGTCAATTTTGGCGGCTATGAGCAGTCATTTCATGATGCAGGTTAGGTTGCAATGCCTTCAGCAAGCAGCTTGAGATCGTCTATACTTTGGCCAGCTACAATCAAGTGCAAGCAGGAATTTCAGGAGTTGAGGACATCACGCCTTCAGGGTTTACAGTGTCCCTAAAGCGGGATGCCCATGCAACGTTCTGTCAAAAAGCGCGTCATGTAAGTTCTGCCTTGCTGTCTTCAATCTAGCGTGCATCTTATGCCTTGCCCAGCATATGGCTATTTGCAACATGGTATGACAACCTTTACCGCCAGATCCTGCCGGAATTCCAGACCCAGGCTGTAGAAAGCACCTTGTGGTAGGAAATTCTGACTCACAAGCATAGCAACCCTGCGTAGAAGACGTTGGCTCAGGTCTTTAGGCCCAATGCCCGAGATCAATACTGCTGACCTCCAGGTCAAGAATCATTTGGGGCAGCATAGTGGGGAACTTGATTTTTAGAAAACACCAGTAGAAGGAAAGGGCGGAGCTAGAGGTCTTCTTGGTGCTGCCTTGCTCTGTGGATGAGCTTCAGCTGGGGGGCAAGCAGAAGCGCCGTCTCCATACAGTCGTGGCTTGGCTGAGGTTGATGGCTATGTGTCGGAACTAGGATCCCGTGCTACTTCCTGTAACCTCTCTATCGGCCCTAACTCGAACACCTAGACACAGAGGTGGACTCGAGGGTGAGCTTCAGGCCCTACAGATTTCACAGAGTGTGAGCATGGGGTACTGTCCAAGGCCTCCGCACCATGTCAGTCTCTAGTGTCCACGAGGTGCCTTAATAAGTGTCCAGCCTCATGCTTGCCGTCAGATAATATATCGGGTCTTGCTGTGGGGATCTGCAACCTGAACCAAAGAGAAGGCTAAATGTCATTCCTACGAGTAGCAGGTGCATGATGGGAGTTGCATGCTGTAAATGGGTTGTGAGTAATGCAAAGTCCTGTGCTACAAGGGCTTCAACATAGCAAGCATTATTCCCTGATCTGCAAGCCAGAGGCTCCGATTGAGGAGGACTGCACTGGAAAGCAGACGTCAGAGAGTGCAATGATTTTGCACGCAACTGCCCAGATGACATGAGCCCACGCCTGCTTGCAAAGAAGAGGGAGCAGCGCTAATTAAGAAGTGAGAGGGAGTAGATGAGCGAGGGCTTCCCTGGTACTCATGGGGCCAGGATGACTGGAAACGGCCGTTCGCAGATCTCTTCGAGCAAGTGATCGCGCAAAGTTGGACAACCGTTGACGTGAACCCGTAATGCCTGGGTTCGCATGCAAAAAGTTTGAATGTGCTCTTCAAGGGAGTACGAGACCTGCAGTGCTTTTTTGGATGTTTTGATCACCAGACTCAACACATGCTTGATTCAGCCGAGCAGGAAGGGTCGTTTCCCATACTTGTGTGTTCTGGGTGCAGGTCCCGGACCTGCCCCTCCTGGACCTGCCGCCCATGCCTCAGAGCATTTGCAAGTGTTGGGGCATGGCAGCATGGAGGGCTGAGCTGCAAATGCAAGAAAACGAGTTGTACCGCTGTCAAACCTTTGCCGGGATACGTGCGCAGGCCGACAATCCGCTTTTCCGAGCAGCCCGCGAGGAGCTGTCAGTGGTGGAATCATCAGCTGAGGGTTTGTAAGCAATGTACAGCCAGATACCGTCGCTGACGCTAGGTTTCAGTGTACAAAACAGGTAGCCGGAGGAAGAAAGGGATCAGGCGTAGCAGATGGTGGTGCTGCTGTTGGACTTGGCGCGGGCGCCGGCGCTGGTGCAGGGTGTTGGTTGTGGCGGTGGTGGCAGCGGCTTTAGCAGCAGCAAATGAGGCATAGTCTAAACTCCTTAAAGGGGGTTGTAGAGGGGATTATATAGGGGACTAGTATAGGGCTTTTTTAAGGAGGATACTAGGAGTTTAGACTATGGCTCGAATGAGTTCTACTGAGTTCTACTCTTAATTCTGATCACTGGCCTCATCGTCTTGGATTCTACAGTCATTCAGTTGGAGCAAGACCTGATTTCCCTGAGGGTTCCACGTATGTTTCTCATCCTTGGCTTACAACTGAAATCGGGATTTGCAAAAATCGCCGCAAAGCACACTGGACATGTGAATGTACGATCCTTCTACTTCTCTAGTGCTTCCGATTATGTATGATCTATCCCTGGACTAATACAGCAAATCACAAGTCACAGGGCAACTGCGGCGTTTTGGAGCGCCTCCTTGGAGATACGCGCGGCGAACGACTGCTTCAGGCATTTACGGTTTATAGGCTTCCGATTGATTAGTCAAGGTGTGTAAGATATGATACGTGCTTCGCAGGGCTTTTGCAAGGATGCCGTAACACATTTTGTAGGCATGAGTGCTTCCCCTAATTCGCCATCATGAAACATGACGTACATGCCTATCCTCTCGGGTGCTTGAGAGGGGCCTGCGTCATTTGAACTATCCGTAGATCAGAGAATTCAGAAAACTCTCAGCTTTACTACAAAGACTGATCGGCTTTGAGATTCGTAAATTCGGGTGTTTCTGTGGATTCTCGCGCAGGTCTTTTGGAATTGCATGGAAGGGGCTCCAGTGGCAAAATTGTATGGGGCTACACCGGATCTTTGTGCCATAGTTCTCGCATCTAGAGAGGTTCCTTGATATTCCTAGTTGTGAGGGCTTTTTGCTTTAATTGCGATTCTTCGACAAGTTGGAAGCTTGGGATGTCAGGTTGGCTTGCTGAGGGCTTCCTTATAGATGAGAGTTCTCTTGATGTTTGTCAGTGGGGAACAGAAAAGAACATGGAAGCTGCTGATCCGTCCCTCCATTCCCTCCTAACAACCAGCAAGTTTTTGTAGGAACTGAGTTTTCAGCTTTGAATCAGAGGTGCTGGTTTGGGGGCTGGTGGTTCAATGAGGGCTCTGTTGTGTTACGACTTTTTCTGTAGCCTCCCCACCGAATGCAAGATCCTTCCACCATAAGATGTCCACAAGTTCTGCCAAGTTCCACTGCAAGCCCACCCCCCACGTGCATCCCAAACTTTACTGACGTACCACATTAAAAGCCCTCACTGCCTACTATTGTTTCTTCCCACTGTGGTCTACTACACGTCATATATTCGGAGCATTTTATGTTGGTGCTGAGGGCTGTTTAACCCCTAAACCCTGGTCATGGGCAGGAGACCACACCCTCCGGAGACACGCTGCTGCACACGGCCGCCTGGCACCTTGGCTGCCTGCACAGTTGAGTAGTATTTTATTTGGGGATACTATGGTAGTAAGATTCTATCCTCCTTTTGGGTATAGTATTCTATATAAGGAATATTATCTTACTAGGTTCAACCACCAAAAAAAACACTACTCAGTTGAGGGTTCAAGGGTTTGTGGTTTAGGCTTATCCTGCGGCTTGTAGAGGTCTTTAGACTTTAGGGCTCAATGTAGTTACCGCTTGTAGACTAAGAGTCCCAG